AGAAGACATAGCATAGGAGGAGGTGGTTTTCTACCTAAGCTGCCACTGCATAGCCCCAAAGTAACATAATCCAACCTCCAGGCAGCACCTGAGATCTCCAGCTATTGAAACTGATGTCCAGATGACCAAGATCAGTTCTCCTGGAGACAATGGCTGCTTTGGCCAATGGACCCTATGGCATTATACCCTGCTGAGATCCCTCCCCACCCCAAACCCTGCCCTCCCCAGGCTCTACCCCTCAAACCTACAGGTATTTCCCAACCCAGAGTTGGTAACCCTGTAACTGGCTATGGAACCGCTTTCCAGACCCTTGGAACCCAGAAGACATGGCATAGGAGGAGGTGCTTTTCTAGCTTAGCTGCCACTGCATAGCCCCAAATCAACATAAGTCAGGGGTGGAGGGAACCATACCTTTTACCATGAAGCTGTCCTCCCATACTACCCACTTGGTGCAGCAAAATGACTTGAGACAGCCCTGCCTTATAGCAAATGGTTTTGATGAGTGTCACTATGAGATACTACTAGAGAGTTTGTGAAATGTATTAATATTGTATTTCAACGCTACTCACTTTGAGAAGTTACACACGAAATGAGATAATATGCATGATCCGTTGTGTTGATGGCGTTTGAATTTCTTCCAGTAAACTGAAATATTGGAAATAGAAATTTCTGGTCTTTGGAGACTTTTTTGGCATAATACATCACGGTTGTTTACTTCTTTCCTAACTGCCTTATATCTAAGCAGAAGGAAATAAACATGGCTTGCCTCCCTCTATGTTCCTTTTCCCTCTGCCGCCCCACCAGCCACAGCCGGGACACTCACCTGGAGCTTCCTGCTAGAGCTCGTTGTATTTCTTCCCACAACCGGCCTTACTCCTAGTGTTACATATTACTGATATTACAAATGAAAGCAAGAACACCCCCTCCATTGTACAATGCTATATGTTCTACTTTGTTGGTTGTATGCTGTGTTTATTTACTTTGCAATGGCCTGGATCACATTGATTTAAAAATTTAAGATGGTTTTTTTTTTACTTTTACAAATTATATATATCAAACATATTATTGTCTGAAAATATGCATATCACAATTCAAAATGTGCTTTAGTTATTGTAGAACATGAAATGGCAGGCTATACTGCATTTATGTGCATTTGTATTAGGGATAAGATGCATAGAACTCTGAAATATAGCTCCTAGAGACACTGAGGAAGAAACAATGCTGAAGAATTACAATACAAGTAACTCACATTGGCAACATTTTAATGAAACACATCAGTTCAAGATGGCTAAATGGTCTGATTATTGAGGCACATAAATTCAACATGGCTAAATGGTCTGATTATCTCAGGGTACACACCTGAAAATTATCTACTTCTGCTTCATTGACTATGCTAAAGCTTTTGACTGTGTGGATCACAACAAACTATGGCAGGTCCTTAAAGAGATGGGAGTACCAGACCACCTCACATGTCTCTTGAGAAGCCTGTATAAGGGCCAAGAAGCGACAGTTAGAACTGGATATGGAACAACTGATTGGTTCAGCATAGGAAAAGGAGTACGACAAGGATGTATATTGTCACCTTGCTTATTTAATCTATATGCAGAGTACATCATGCGAAATGCTGGCCTGGATGAATCACAAGCGGGAATTAAGATTGCTGGGGAAAAGATCAACAACCTCAGATATGCAGACGATACCACTCTAATGGCAGAAAGTGAAGAGGACCTAAAGAGCCTCTTGCTCAGAGTAAAAGAGGAGAGCGCAAAAGTGGGCTAGAAGCTCAACATCAAAAAACTAAGCTCATGGCATCTGGCCCCATCACTCCTTGGCAAATAGAAGGGGAAGTCGTGGAAGTAGTGACAGACTTCACGTTCCTGGGATCCCAGATCACCGCAGACTGTGACAGCAGCCATGAAATTAAAAGACGCCTGCTCCTTGGGAGGAAAGCGATGGCGAACCTAAACAGCATGATAAAAAGTAGAGACATCACCCTGCCAACAAAAGTCCGCATGGTCAAAGCAATGGTATTCCCAGTAGTCATGTATGGCTGCGAGAGTTGGACTATAAGGAAGGCCGAGCGCCGAAGAATAGATTCTTTTGAACTATGGTGCTGGAGAAGACTCTTGAGAGTCCCTTGGACTGCAAAAAGATCAAATCAGTCAATCCTAAAAGAAATCAACCCTGACTGTTCCCTGGAAGGCCAGATAATGAAACTGAAGCTCAAATACTTTGGCCACCAAATGAGAAGGGAGCACTCACTGGAGAAGACCCTGATGCTGGGAAAGATTGAAGGTCAAAGAAGACGGGGACGGCAAAGGATGAGATGGTTAGACAGTGTCATAGATGCAACGAGCAAGAAATTGAGCAAACTTCAGAGGACGGCGGAAGACAGGAGGGCCTGGCGGGAGCTGGTCCATGGGGTCGCGAAGAGTCGGACTCAACTGTGCGACTGAACAACAACAACAACAACACACACCCTCACATATGAATTCTCAATGAGATTTTAGCTCCAGTGGAAAATACCACCTTGGGTAAAGGCAAAGATGGTTTCCACAAGCCCCAGGGCCTTTTCTATAGTACCGTGTTTCCCCGAAAATAAGACACTGTCTTATATTTATTTATTCTCAAGAAGACACACTAGGGCTTATACCACAAATGCATAGAAATCCTGCTAGGTCTTATTTTTGGGGTAGGTCTTATTTTTGGGGAAACAGGGTAGTACAGGAGCTTCAGAATACCTTATCATACAACAATAATGTGACACCCCATCATCCTTCTGGAAGCAGGCTAAAACATTTTTTGTCAGCATTATTGTCCCTTAGAAGATTTTCTGAGGTTGCATTTGTTATATTTACAGTGCAATCCCAAGAACACTTTCTTGGGTGTAAGTCTCATGTAAGATTATGTTTCTTAGGGTGGCACTGTTAAGAGGCGCTTGTTGTTCTATGATGTTTTCTGGTATGGCTGTTTTAATTTTCAAATAAAAAAAATATTGTACAAGCAATTATCTTCTTGCAAGGGACCAGACAGCACAACATAAAGCTGAGTTGTAGGGGAATTTGTCATAGAAATCGAGTACTCAAACTTTCAAAAACTTGACTCTTTCACGTGTCAGGACAAATCAGCATTACAATTTAACAAATTAAAAAGTAACATTAGGGAATAATTCAAGGGAAGGAAGTTTGTAGTAAAGTGTAACAGGAAAGGAGATGATCCCAAAGGAAATTAAGGTGACAGTAAAGGAGGGACTATTTTCAGCTGTACTTTTGATGGGTTTTTAAATTGTACTTTTAATACGACAGATTCTGGATTATTTTTTTAAGTGCCTTTCTTGCCATTAAACGCCGCAGTTGTAACGATTTGTTAAAGTTGGAATTCTTCTGGCTTGCCTATGACCACTAGGTGGCTCAGCCTTATGACGGGGCATACCAAGGCTTGCCTGCAAGCCAAGGGAGGCAACTGCCTTCGTTCCTTAGATTGAATGTTTGTCCTCTTTGATGTTGCGGCGGGGAGCGGAGGGACCCAGAGCAATAGGCGTTTACAAGGCTGCTACAGCAATTATGCTTCCTCAAGTAAGAGGAAGGAATCCCGCGGGCAGCGTGAGACTTTCTCTTTTCACTATACTGAGGAGTCCCTTTTCAGCGGGGATCTAGACTGGTCGACGCGGCGGGCGTTTTGTCTTCCAGACTCCTAGAGGGGGAAAAAACCAGCACCTGACCGCTTTATTCCCCGCACTTCGTAGACGGCGAAACACAGGTATTGTTCTTCTTCGGACCGGCAAACAAAAATCTGTTCGGTTGTTTTCGGAGCACTACGTTCTATGGGGTTTAAATAGCGAAGATTCACTTTTCTGGCAAGTCTGACTTTGACTTCCTGATCTCTGTCATTAGAATGTGAAACCGACACATGGCTTGTATCACAATGTGAATGTCTGGGTGAAGCTTCTCCTGGCAGCTATTTTTATTTCTTTTAAAGTTTCCCCTTGTGCTTTCCTTTGTCTAGGTCTTTTTTGTCTTGTGGTCTCTCTTTTACGTGTGGTGTCATAATTCTATTTCTAGGTTTGTCTTGGAAATCAGAAATGCTCAAGTAATTAATGTAAACTTTGCATGTAATTCGTAAAAAGGACCTTTTTTACCTTTCAGTTTCATTTCATAGCCCCCTTTAATTTGCAGGGAGGAGATTTTTCTCTAATTAATTGTGATTAATAGTCTATTTTAATGGGTATCAGTCCCCACTAATTTACAAGAAGACCACTTGGCTTCTGCCTTGTTCCATGTTTAACTGTTAAGAAATTTATACTACTTGTCCTTTTCCTAGCAGTAATTGCTCCAGAATCTTTCCTTAGGGCCATTTCACATACAACATAGATGTCACTTTAATGTAATAAAATATGTGAACTGCATATATAAGTTTACATGTATGATTAATATAAAGGTTTTCCTTGCTCGAAAGCCAGTCAAATCCGACTCTAGGGCGAAGTGCTCATCTCCATTTCCAAGCTGAAGAGCCAGTGCTGTCCAAAGACATTTCCATGGTCATGTGGACAGCATGACTAGACGTCGAGGTGCATGGAATGCTGTTACCTTCCCACCGAAGTGGTACCTATTTATCAACTTGCAATTTCTTGCTTTCGAACTGCTAGGTTGGCAGGAGCTGGGACCAGAGATGGGAGCTCGCTCTGTCATACGGCACTTGGGTCTCGAACTACTGAACTACCGACCTTCCGATCTGCAGTTCAGCGTCTTAACTGACACCTCTAATTCACCTATGTATATGTGGTTAGAAGTCAGTGTTTGGGTGTATAAGCAATGTATGTTTGCATTCATTACATGAGATGATAATGTAACTTCTTTCATAGAAATTATTTGAAGCAGCCTCCTTTTCTCTTAGAAAAATGTTGCTACATTCTGTGCCTGACCCAAGGAACTTCAGGGAGAGATGAATTTGAATTTGCTGGCATTATCAGTGTTCAGATAAGAATTATGAGTGCTTTTTGTATCTGCCTTCAAAAAGTGAATTTTTTCCCTTAAGGGTGTGTGCGTGCGCATGCGTGCGTGCAACTCCTTATACTCAGGGTGGACTGGACATTTAACATACAGTGAAACATCATAGTGCACTGCTGCTTTGGAGGCTGGCAGCGGCTGGTAGAGTGCAAGGTCATACTTGCTGGTGCTTGGCTTCCCCCTGGCCAGCAGCAGTGAAGACAAGTGGTAGGGAAGCATTGTCCTAGTCTTCACCCATCATCATTGCCAATGGCTAGGTCTGAGGAGGAGAAAAGCATAGGGTTGCCAACCTCCAGGTAGCGACGGGAGATCTCCCACGGATCTCCAGGTGACAGGGATCAGTTCAGGCCACTTTGGAAGGTGTACCCTATGGCAATATGTACCGTTAAAGTCCCTTCCCTCCCCAAACCCTGCCTTCCTGAGGCTTCACCCCCAAAACCTCCAGGTATTTCCCAACCTGGAGTTAGCAACCCTAGGAAAGCAGAAGGCAGCCACTGCTCTAGTGTCTGGACCTCTTGATTAATGATGGGGAGAATACAGTGGCTGTCAACCTCTTCTTTGTAAGGAGGTCCCAGCGCAGCTTCTGCTTCCTCCTCTCATTGCGGAGGACACATTGGCTGATGAGACCAGTATGTTATAGTAGTCAGAATGTTGGGCTAGGACTGGGGAGACTATTGCCCCATGAATCTTAATGGGTGATCTTGGTCCAGATACTCTGTCCCAGACTAATGTATCTTACAGACTAATGTATCTTACAAATGTTATGAGGATAAAATGGTGTGTGTGTGTGTGTGTGTAGAATCATATAACCACCCTGAGCTCCTTGGAGGAAATATGAGAGAAAAATGAGGTATATAGTGACAGCCACTGCCCCCACACCTAAACTACCAGACAGGGGAATCTGTACTTCCAGTTTCTGGCCCTAGTACTGCTTCCCTAGCAAAAACTTACCTACAAGTTTTTCAGAGATTCCTTGGACAGGAATCAACCAGTGCCTTTTTTTTAACTGTCAAGTTGCAGTCGACTTATGGTGCAGGTATAGGGTTTTCGAGACAAGAGATGTTCAGAGGTGGTTTTGCCATTGCCTGTCTCTGTGTAGCGATCCTGGTATTTGTGGTGGTCTCCCATCCAAATATTAACCAGGGCCAACTCTGCTTAGCTTCCAAGGTCTGATGAGATTGGGCTAGCCTGGGTTTTTCAGATTAGGAAACTAGCACATTATAAACCAAAATAATGCAAGTTCTTATGGCACCTTAAGAACAAATGAATTTCTTGTGACAATCTTTGTCAAATGATGTAGGTTACAAAAGGTTATGCCACTATACATTTGTTGGTCTTTAAAGTGCTACGGGAACCTTCATTATTTTGGCTGAAGCAGAGCAAATGTGTATATGGAACATATTAAGTTGCTTTGTCAGAGCTTTAGTCCATCTCATTCAGTAGTTTATTCTGGCAGTGAAGGATCTTCCTGCTACTTAGGATCCCTTACCAATATACACTAGGATTTGAACATGGGCTGTTCTGTGTGCAAAGCATGTGTCCCATCACTGAGCCATACTTCCTTCCTTGGGACCCAGAGTGCTGCACTATATAGAGGTGAATTTGGATGTTCAGCCCCGCCTATTAACTTCCCAGTCTGTTGCATAGCTGTGAAAAGGGAATAACAGTGACCCACCTACTAGATTGTGGGACTGTCAGTGAAAAATACAGATTACAAAGCACTTTGTTGTGACTATTTCCTAAATTATCAACAATATTAATATATAATAAGAAGCCTCATTTGGGTCTGTTCTAGTTTGGTGCTGTTTTATATATCTCGGCAGCGTTTTCCATATGCTGTGTTAGGGGATGGGGAGGTGGAGTGTGGGGTGGTCCCCAGGCCCAGTGTGCCAATGCCCTCAGCTCAAAGGTAATTTAACACCCCGGCTCTAGATGGTGTTCCTGGGAGAGCCCATCAGAGTCCAGGCGCTGCTGTGGTCACTGTTCTGTAGGGACAGACAGCAGCGGCCCTTTAAAGAGCACCACCAGCCACATTCCCGAATGCAAAAGCGTGCGGGACATCCACCACTCCTCTTTCCTCAACAAAGTACTTGGAAGAAGTGAAGCATTTTCCAACGGAAGTTATTGCAGGAGTAGACTACCGCCACTGAAATGGGTTGGCGGGCGGACTGAAGTTGCGGGTGTGAGACGGACTGTTGTTTTCCGGACCAGCGCGAAGCTGCAGTCGCTCGCCTGGGGCTGGGGAGGGTCTGTGCGAAGCCAAGCTCCGCCTCTGCACCGAGCGGGGAACCCAACAACAAGCCTGAGGGCGGCCTCGGAGCCTGCGGGGCAGGGGCGTCCAACAACAAGCCTAGGGGCAAGCCAGCCAACCAGCGGCACTGTCTGAACCCCGCCTCCACCGCCGAGGCCGCAGCAGTCCCCGCGGGGGGGGGGGGGCGGTTGACGGAGCGCCCA